CCCAGCTTCAGTTCCCAGAACTTACATGGTGGTTCACAACCATCTCTAACTCCAGCTCTAAGGGATGTGACATCTTCTGGCCTCTGTGGACATCAGGCACATACGTGGTACACAGACACACATGCAGGTGAAACTCCATACACAGATAGTAAATTTTCAAAAAATTAAAGAGCTACTGTCTAGCTACTGTCTAACCCACAAATCCTTGTAGGGATATACCCTAGGGCAATGAAAACATCCAACAACACTCAAGTTTGTACATGAATGTCCACAGAAGCATTTACAGTAGCCAAACGTAAAAGTCATCCTAAATCCACTAATTAGCATATACATAAACAAAAGGTAGTATAGTCTTATAATTGTATTATTCCACAAAGAGTATAAAAAAGAATAAAGTATACATAAATGCTGTAACATGGATGAACCCTGAAGATAATTCTGTTAAGTCAAAGAAGCCAGACACAAGGGCTGGGGAGGTACCTCAGGGTTTAAGAGGACTTAATGCTCTTGCAAAGGACCCAGGTTCTGTTCCTAGCACCCACATGGAAGCTCACCATCACTTTTAACTCTAGTTCCATGGGATCTAACACCCTGGCTCCCACAGGCACACACATAGTGCAGACATACATACAGGCAAATACTCATACACATAAAATACATAAAAAAGTCTTAAAAAGAAAAAAAAAAGCAAATATTGGAATTCCACTCATGAAATGCCCAAAATAATCAAACTTAGACCCAGAAAGTCCACGAGTGAGGTTGAGCATGAACATGGGAGAGTGACTAGTAATAGGTCCAGTGTTTCTAAACTGTCCAGTGTAGGTGACAAAAACCAATTGCAGTTGCCCATTACTATGAATATGCCCTGTGAGTTTGCTAGAAACCAATGAATGGTATAATTCAAATTGATAAATTACATAGCATCACATTTAATCTCATCAAAGTATTTTTTGGTTGCTTTTCGTTTGCTTTGGGCCAGATTTGGTAGCGTACACCTATAATCCCTGCACTCAAAAAGTTGAGGCACGAGGATCACAAGCTTGAGGCCAGCCTAGCTATATAGTAAGACCCTGTATTAAAAATAAACAAACAAGCTCCAAAGCTACACAGAGAAACCCTGTCTCGAAAAACCAAAAAACAAAACAAAAACAAACAAACAAACAGCCAGTAGTGGCGCACGCCTTTAATCCCAGCACAGGGGAAGTAGAAGCAGGTGGATCTCTGTGAGGAGGCCAGCCTGGTCTATAGAGTGAGTTCCAGGACAGCCAGGATGGTTATACAAAGAAACCCCATCTCACAAAACAAAAAACAACAACAACAAATGGCACCCACAAAACAAACAACCGAAAAATCATCTAATTATACATTACTAAATGAACAAAGCACTGTTCATTACAGAAAATCACTTCGATCTCCCATACTGTCAGGTCATGTTTGCTGGAATATCTACTTTCCTCTATTCCCACCACCCCCCACACAAGATTTCTCTGTGTAACAGTCCTAGTTGTCCTGGAACTCACTCTGTAGACCAGGCTGGCCTCAAACTTACAGAGATCCACCTGCCTCTGCCTCCCAAGTGCTGGGATTAAATGTGCGTGCCGTCTGGCCTCTATTTTTAATTACAACAATTACCAATAAATTTTTACTCATGACATCCCAGACATTTATTTCTGTTGGGATCTAGCTGGAGGTCTTACTTCTGTGCCTGAACCACTCAAAGGACTTGGCTTTGGTGTGTATGCAAGCTTTTAATATACATTCAACTGTAAACATATCACTGGAGAAAGAAAATATGAACATACCCAAACAACAAAACAAAAAAACAAGGCAACCAGAGAAGTCTAATTGAAACATTTCCTCCCAACATTGCGGCTATGTCTGATTTCTGTTAATTTAGGAAAGGTCAACTGTCAACTGTTCAGACAGAAAAACTATTCCCAAAGGTTAGGTTCCTGGGACAGTCAAGGCCACCAACACTGACAAAGCACCTGAACAGGTCTTACTGTTGGTTTTCAGAGACAGTCTCAAGCAGTCCAGATGGACCACAGACTCACTATGTACTCAAGGCTGGCCTTTAACTCCTGGTCCTACTGCCTTCACTGCTGGGGACTAGGATTACAGTCATCATACCCAGCTTATCAATATGAGCCATAATCTTCTTATGGCTCTATAACAAATCCTATCTTTTCTGTCTTTGGGACAAACACTGCTTAAACTGATGCCACCAGGGACTTGTCTGAGATTCAACAATAAAGCCTTTTTCTATGTCCAAAAATCAAGAACAAGACAAAACCACAAGGGAAAAATCGTATCTATCAACCTTATTTTATCACCTTAGTTTGTTCCCAATCTATAAGGCTACAGCTTAAGGTAGTAACTCAATAAAAATAACTCTGTGCTTACAGCAAGGATTGTTAAGTTCTGATGAGACTAATGGAGTAATAAATGTGGAAGAAAGAACAAATGTGGGACTGAAGCCTGCCAGGCACCAGCTAGTAGAGCTAGATGAAGCAAGAATTCAGTGTGCAGAGGAAGAGAGATCAAGAGGCCTGGATGATGAAGCCATGGGAATTTAGACACACTAAAGAAGCATTGTACTTTCCTCTATCAAATGTAACAGCCTGATTCTGGCCTCTAATTAGAAGAGGGCTTATTCCATCCCCAACACATAAACTCTGACTTTTTATAGCCTAAGCTGCATGCTATTTTAAACATGTGGAGGAAATGCATTTTCAGTTACAAACATTGGCTCCTCGGCATCTGTCCTTATTTGTTACTGAGAGATGTGGGGCAGGATGTTTTAGTCTTCTGCACTGGTTTTCCTGTGTTGCTTAAATCTGTTTAGAGAAAAGGGAAATACACAATTTCTATAAACTGAAGCAGCTCCCAAAGTGGGGAGAAAAAAAGGCCATGGAAAACATTTTACTGTATCACTTTTCTTTTATATATTAGACGACTCCTGCAAATTCCTCCCTTGAAAAGACCTTCTATACTTAAGTGGTATCTGTTGCAGATAGTTTTCACTGATAAAATGAGTCCAAATCCCAAAGCAGATGACTTCCTTTGGCATTCCAAGCAGTTATAACTGTAAAAGTTTTCTAAGACACAGGTCAGAAAAACAAGCAGATCACCCTTGAAGGCCGTGCAACTTATCAGAAATTGAAGGCATAATACTGTACCATAGGTAGTTAAAAGTCCCATATTCATGCACTTTTACTCAGATACTTAGAATATATTCTTATACTCTGATATATTCCATTATAGCTTTCAAAGAAATGGATTTCGACAGATTTCATTTTACTCTTTTTTAAGAGAGTCAGTGGGTCATTAATCTACTAAAAATATTTCTCTAGAACAGCTGCCAGCAACGGCTCCTTTTCTCAGCTGCCCTGTGTCCCGGTAGCTTTCCTGTCCACAGCCTCAGGAAGACTCCTCCCTCCTTAATGAACTCTAGTCAGACTCCTTTCAGCCATTTCTCAACCAAGTCTTGACACTGACTCTTGTCTATGCCAGGACTATCTAGCTCAGGTTTAGGAGGAATCCATCTCAGTCAATTTAAAGAGACTGTCCTATGCTGATATCCAATCACCTCAGCTGCCTTTAACAAGAGTCTGTTTAGCCAGAACCTTCCATAGCAACAGTACTATTAATGTATAACAGGAAAGGTGGTTAGTATTATCTGAGAGGGGTCTCCCTGACATCACTTCTCACATAACTGACTTGCATGTAAACCTATCTGAGATTCTACTCTAGGTAAGTGCACCCTAGAGGATATAACACTGTAACAATATTACTCAGAGTTGGAGCTAAAAAGATGAAGATTTGCCTACACAGTTTGATAGGAAAATTGGATGAATTTTTAGTGGGAGAAAAAAATGTAAAATAAAATGTTCCTGTTTGCCAGGCATAGTGATGATATACACCTTTAATCCCAGAATTCAGGAGGCAGAGGCAGGCAGATCTTGGTGAGTTTGAGACCAGCCTGGTCTACAGAGTTAGCTCCAGGCAAAGCCAGGGCTATATAGTAAGACTGTCTCAAAAACAAGAAAAAACCAACAACTTCCTGTTTACAGCAAAGGTGGGTACATTAATGAGGTGGCAGTCCTCATCTGGACAGTCAGAGGAGCCAGTGTAGGAGCCTGGTCTACCAGAACTCTCTATTGCAGGGGATAGCTGGCTAGTTAGGGATGCCCATGTGATGAGGCCTACAGCCCTGGGTTTCTCTTATTTACTTCTTATATATGCTAAGAAGACAGGAACTTTGCTTTTTCAAAGAGAAAGAACTTCAGGCTTCAGCTGAAAATAACTAAAGCATGGAACGCACAAAAGGAGTAAACTATCCGAGTTTCTTTCTTTTGATCATTTTTGCCTGCTTTCTCTGAGACAGAGGCTCACTCCGATACCGACACTAGCCTTAAATCCTGGGCTCAAGTGATCCACCTCCACCTATCCCAGCAGCTGGAACTGCAGGCATGAATCCCCCTGCCCACTCGACTTTCTTATTTATGTTCTTTTGTCCTCAAAGGCAAAGGGGGGTGGGAGGTGGAACTAAGCACTCAATTCAAACATTCATTAAAAGTTCTGATGAAGAGGCAGGCGGATCTCTGAGTTCGAGGCCAGCCTGGTCTACAGAGTGAGTTCCAGGATAGGCTCCAAAGCTACACAGAGAAACCCTGTCTCGAAAACTCCAAAAAAAAAAAAAAAAAAAAAAAAGTTCAGATGAACTGCTAACGTTGTCATGCAAAAATTATTATTTTTTAGTTATATAATTTATATGTTTAGCTTTGTGGTTACCTTCTTTCAAGCTGGATTATTAAATAAGTAACATAGCTAATTTTTTTTCTAGCAGACTCTATCTGGGTAAAAACTTGCAACAAGGCAGAGCAGAAGTTTCCTTCCCTATCTCAGAACAGGAGTGGTGACCACTACCTTAGAAACAGGGTCTTGCACAGAAGTTTCCCGAGTGTGCCAAGACCCCTGGGACAGACACACATACTCACCCCGACCCCGCAGGGAGTGGTGGCGCTGCTGAAGTGGCCACAGCCTGAGGGTTTTCCTTCTCAGTTTGCTTGAGGAAAGACTTGGCTTCCTTGGATGAAGCATCTACTTCCTTAGTCACCCTGTTTCACGGAAAGAGACATCAATTTACAAGTGGGCCAAGAAGTCAAAGTGCAGCAAAGGACAGAAAGGAAAACTGGGAGCACACTCACTGCTGAGTCTCCAATCAATTCCAGCCACTTGATCAAAGTCCCTCTAACAGTCCCACCAAGCGATGCTTTCCCAGACTAATGGTGCTAACTAATGACACGACCAGTAGTGAAATGTCATCCAAGTCTGCTCCGTTACATCTGTCAGTGTGAAGACTCCGCTTCACTGAGTCTCAGCTCACTTGGTGACTCACGTGACGGCCACAGAGACTCCTGCACTACTCCTCACCTAACGTAGCGATATGAAGACTCGAAGGGCCAGTGAAAGGTGGGATGGAGAGAGGGGACACAGGGACAAGAGCACTGCCATCCACCATGTCAAGAAGAAAAGCAAACTCCTGGAAATAGTCTGCAGAAGGCTCCTTCTTGCTCTACACCTAAAACCAAAGACAAAACACAACTTCCTAAAACTGGGCAAATCACAACTACTCAGGGAGTAGCAGAATGTAACACAATACTATCCAATTTCAAATTTGGGGAACTGCATCAGATAAAACTGAGTTCTAAAGGATAAAATAAGGATACTTAAGATGTCTCCTCTTCCAGGTAAAGAGAAAAGGAGAACTATGTAGTGCATGCTTTGACATGCTAGAGCAACAAAAACATTTGGGGAATTTTGTTTAAATTCCAATCTACCAGTAGGCAGGTCCAAAATTATAGTCAGTGCATTATAAATATTCAAACAAAGACTGCCCAAAAATGATAGAATAAACCCTATAAACTCCATCTATGAGGGTATACAAGTCTCTACCACCTTCCAGGATAAATTTTCTAATGAAGGGCTACCTCGCTGCTGTACTTAACACTGTGTGTTATGTATGTAAGTGGCACCAAGTTAAGCTTGGAGCTAAGATGAGACAAGCAGTTCCAGGCAATACAGGAACACACCAGCAACACTCCACTGCTTACCATTTGCTGTTACAGCTGAGGCTGGGGAGGTTTGCTCTACAGCACTAATATACCAACGGGAAGCTCATTTACCTTCCTAAGTATTAAACCTGAAATCTAAGGGGTCATGCTCCTTACTCCACCATCCAGAGACTACACGGCAATTGAGTGAAAATTCTGCAACAGATGGCATATTCCAAACCTGCTCTTCCAGAACCTAAGCAAGCCCCTTAATGGCTATCTCACCCAAGGGGTTCTGTGTAAGTGGCTCTATAGGCCTTCTAAGGGCTTTCTCCCTTGGGAATATATCTTCAGAACTCCTAGCCTAAAGCTACTCTGCAACAGAGATCACATGGAAAGACCACACAGACACAGATGTCTAAAGAATCATTCCTAGCCCCAAGATAGCCGAGTCCTTAAGCATCAGAACTGGAAGTAAATGATCTTTATGATGGTCCCAACCACTGTCTGATTACAAGTACACAAGAGAGCCTGAGCAACAACCACCTACTTGGCCTTAGAGACCCCTGGAACTATGAGAAATTGTAACAGAACAGTTCGCTGTTTTATGCAAGCCAATAAATTTTAGGGTGATTTGTCATACTGCTAAATCAATACCCAAAATAAACCTGCATCAAAATATTGGACTTAATGCAGATCCCAAAATACTGGATTCAAAATAGTCCCTTGTCTTGAGTAAAAATTACTACAGAAAATTAATGTGATTAATGAAGAATTAAAGCATGCTTTATTGTCCACTTACTATCAAAGTCTACTAATAGTGAAACAAATGTAACTAAAACTATACAACATTAGTAGAAGAGGTAAAACAGAAAAAGATATTAATTTTTCAGAAAGTAAAGAAGCTGGCCATGGTGTACATGCCTGTAATAGCTTCACAATGGGACAGTTGAGCAGGAGATCAGGAGTTCAAAGTCATCCTCAGCTACATGAGATTGACTCAAAAAAAAAGTAGCAAATATCTAAGTAGCAACTGGTTTTGGTTTCTTCTCTGATCTCCTAAATTTACAGCCACGTGGAACGGATAACAGCAAGAAAGCCACGCCGCGTCACAGAACCTTAGAAAGGCTTGTTCAACTTAACTTTCAGGGACTTTCAAAGGTGAGAAAGAGGTGCAGGCTGCCACAACCAGCTGAAAGCTTGCATTAGGAACAACTAACCTTTTTTCTTTTATTATTATTATTATTTGTTTTGTTTTGTTTTTCAAGACAGGGATTCGCTGTGTAGCTTTGGAGCCTATCCTGGAACTCGCTCTGTAGCCCAGGCCTGCCTCTACCTCCCGAGTGCTGGGATTAAAGGCGTGCGCCACCACCGCCCGGCACAACTAATCTTTTTTACCTCAAAACACAGGCTATACGCTACCACTGCTAATCCTGAGGGATCCACAACACTTAGAGAAAATGAAAACCACAGAGGGACAGGAATGAAGAATGAATCCCATCCTGAAATTAGAAGAATTAAACGAAAAGCCACCCAGAAAGGCTGTATATTCCAGAGGGCTGAGTGACAGACCTAAGTGCTAACCACCCCGTAATGTACTAAGAAATAGACACTTTACTATGTGTGCTACTGAAGCACAGCTTGTTGTCCAAACACAGTAGAGCCTCGTCCGAGTTCAAACAATACACATTTCAGAAAAGGGGGAAATACAACAAAAGAAAGTCTAGAATTGAAGGAGGAGTTTCAACAAAGAGCCACAGAACACTTGATTGACACAGCCAACTTTAGAGGATCCACGTCAAAGCACAGAGCTGAAATTCTGGAACGCTATGATATGAAGAACAAGTGGCCTAAGGAACAAGGAGAGCAAAGTGCCAACCATGTAGCTTATGTTTAGTTGTGTTGTTCCTGTTTTACTACAGGGCCGACAAGACTCTGATACACACTTAAGTAAACATTTTCTGGAAAGCATTCCAAATGCTGACATTGTTAAATATTAGACATATAAAGAAACATAATACGGCTTCTGCCATCAAAAACTCACAGTCCAGCAAGACAGCCAAACTACAAAAGCGACATGACAACCCATGCCATAGTGTCACAGAGTAGGCATGGGGAAAACAGAACCCTTGGGAATGCCCTTCTTAATTTCTTGTGCCAGAGTCTATCCATCCCCACCAGAAAACACATTATATAAACTGGGATATTTCTAAGGAATTTGATGGCTGACAAAGTAATAGCAGATAACTCTCTGCTGAAAACATCCTTAAACAATACCACTCTTTCTGCCATTTTGTTTTGCAGGAGAGGTCTCTGTATGGCCCACGCTGGCTCTCTACTTGTGCTCAGCCTCCTGAGGTACCAAAGAGTAACCTCACCGCTAATAAACAGTGAAGGATTTAGCGATCATACTACTTCTAAGTAGGAGATTGGTTAACTTACAATCATCTTAAACATGAGGAGGACTCCTGACAGGAAAATGCCTAATATTAGCAATAATTAATCTATTTGTTTTTAGCAAAAATTCCATTTTAACTTCATTTTCACTCACTCAACTTCCTGAAAAGTCTTTATTTGGACAGAACTTTTCCATGACTGGACTTTTCCAAAAGGTGAATCATTTAGGAAAGTCTGAGCTCACAGGGTCAGCTGGCTATGCCATTGAGGAGGGTAAGAATGATCATTTTCCTCCTTTCCCCAAGGCTTAAAAAATCACATAGTTTTCATGGAGGAAAAACAAACAAAACAGCCAAATCCAAAATTTTACCATTATAATAAGTTAGAGAAACTAAGAGACTAACTTCATGCTAATACTACCTCATTCTTCAATTAGAAATTTCTCCCATCAGCTCTTCCACATTTCTTTACTTTTTTTTGGTTTGGTTCTTTGAGACAGGGTTTCTCTGTGTAGCCTTGGCTGTCCAGGAACTAGCTCTATAACCCAGGCCAGCCTTGAACTCAGAGATCCACCTGCTTTTGCCTCCCAAATGCTGGGTTAAAGGCTTGTGCCACCACAGCCCGGCTACTCCTTCACATTTCTTAAAGATGCAGTGATGCCCTTAACTTGATACAAAGTCAAAAAGGAAAAACAAAACAATGATGTCAAGAGATTAAACGTTGTGCTCAAACCCAAACACCAAGTTTGTGTCTGAGCTGTCAGTTAAAGTTCAAATCTAAGATCCTTCAAGAAAGTTCCTTATAGCACCTTATGTTTTATTTATTTACTTATTTTTATTTATCTTTTTTAGTTTTTTTTTCGAGACAGGGTTTTTCTGTGTAGTTTTGGTGCCTGTCTTGGATCTTGCTCTGTAGACCAGGCTAGCCTTGAACTCACAGAGATCTGCCTGCCTCTGCCTCCTGAGTGCTGGGATTAAAGGCATGCGCCACCACTGCCCGGTGTACCTTATGTTTTTTAAAAAAAAGTTTTGCTAGTAGTTGGTTCATGGTGGCACACATCTTTAATCCCAGAACTCAAGTGGATCTCTGAGTTCAAGGCCAGCCTGGTTCAAAGAACAAAGTTCCAGGACAGCCAAGGCTGCACAGAGAAACTCTGTCTGGAAAAACAAAAACAAAGTAAACAAAGTTTTACCAACATGGCAACTATTAACAGGTTTAAATAAATGTTACATAGCTGGGCAGTGGTGGCGCACGCCTTTAATTCCAGCACTTGGGAGGCAGAGCCAGGCGGATCTCTGAGTTTGAGGCCAGCCTGGGCTACCAAGTGAGTTCCAGGAAAGGCTCAAAGCTACACAGAGAAGCCCTGTCTCGAAAAACAAAAAAAAAAAAAAAAGTTATATATATATATATAATGTATACATATTAAACATGTATATAAACAACTATATATTCATCCCAGGTGGACCTTGATCTTCCTGCTTCCACTTCCCAAGTGCTGGGATTACAGGAGTGTATCACCACGGCAGATTTCAACAAGCTTTCATATTCTTTATGGAAAAGGAGTTTGAGAGGACACTCACTTGTTCTGTTATATATTTCTATAATATATAATTTTTTAAAATAGCATGTATTACTGTTAAGTATAAATAAATGCCTATGTATGAGAG